GCTTCAAAAACACTCCAATCAGTGCAGTCGAAACAGGCTTGTAATGCCTGCTCTGTTTCGTTGGTCCATCTCTTTACAGACTTTACTACAGGTTTAGCAGATTTAAGTTTATGCCTGTAAGTCAGTATAAGATGAACCAGGCAGTGCCAGAAACTGGTTATTATTATTTTTGTTCTGTTAAAACTTATATGCTTATTTACTACCCTGTAATGATATTTTGCATCACATGTGGACCCGGTAGACATTATAAATTTTGTGGAATATTTTGCACATTTGCTGTCCGACTTAAGTGGAGCGACTTTATGCTAGGGCCAAAGTGAAAATCTTACATTAGATTTTTTGATGCACCCTACGATCCAGCATGTATAATATGTGACCACTGATGACAAAAGTATGCAAAAATGATTTTGTGTATTGTATATGCACTTAAAAAAAAAAAAGAAGCAAATTATATAAAAGCAAATGTAAGTCTGCCTTTTAGCTATTTATTATTATTATTATTGTTATTATTATTATTATTATTGTTGTTGTTGTTGTTTTGAATAGGTCTGTTTTTAAGTGAAGACCTGCAGTTTTCTGGTCCGGCTAATGGAGCAGTAGGAGGAAGTGTGGTGTTCGCTCCTGATAACCCGCCCTCCACATCAAATGATGCAGTTCAGTGGCATTTTGGAACAGCTATTATAGTGACAGCACTGTCTGATTCAACTACAATAGCCTCAGCATACAGAGACAGAGTCAGTTTTGACAAAAACACTCTCGCTCTGGAGCTTTGGAACCTGACACTGAATGATTCTGGAATATACAGACTGACTGTATTACCTAGTGCTGGAGGCCAACTTACAGGAGAAACTTTGCTACAAGTGCTCGGTGAGTGTGTTGCTTAAACTTGGTTTTTAGTATTTGAGACTATATATTGTAAGATTAATAGATGACAAATGGGTATTTAATAAATATGTGAAAGATGATTTAAAAAGTAACAACATATTTTTGTTCATTTATAATGCTGTAAATTAAACAAGAATCGTAAATATGTGAAAATAGTATTATAATAGTTGCATGATGAGAATTCTGACGAGAAAATAAGGATATAAAAATAATAATAATAATAATAGTTATTATAATCATTTATGTATGGACATGCCTGATGTTGTTTTGTTGTTATGAACTTATCAGTTGTTGTTTTTTCCAGGTTGTTTAGCGAAACAATTATTGGTTAGCACTCAGGAGACACAAAATGTTCACTTCAACTTCAACTTCAATCAGAAATGTTTTTATAATCATTGGGAGATACCAACCTCTGCAGCTCTACCGTTGGAGAAAGTATAACAATCAGCTTGAATCAATTGTGCCTTGATAACTAATCACAATATAACCTTGACATCATTTAATTAGAAAGGCATTTTTTTCCCAATATAAACTCCAAAAATGAAAGAAGACTGAACATTAGCTGATAGGCTGTCGATTCTGTTAAGTGATAAGCTGTTATTCTCCTAAAACAAGTAAAGACTTTTCTGAGAAATTAAACATATACACTCCTCACAATCCAACCAACCAGACTGTGCCAAATAATTGAGCAGATAGTGTGTCTATTTTTTAATTGATCATGTAATTTTCTAAAAACAATACAAGCTTCGATACATTGGACTTCATTGGATAAACTAATTTTTTATGTACTTTTTGTGTAATTTCAACATTTCATCCCTATTATGTCCCATACAAAGCATGCTAGGAACTACAGTTTCAGTAATTAATTTTCCAGTGCTGTTCAAACAAAAAATTTTTTCAGTGCAAATTAAACTTTTAACTTGTTTATTTATTCATTATTATTATTATTATTATTTACATTTTTGTTATATTAAGATTACTATGAGGTTAAAACAGTTAACCCACAGTCTCCTTTGTCTGACACACTCGTTTCAGGTCTTGGAGTCTCTACTAATGAGCTGATGAGTTGAATCTGGTTTGTTTGATTAAGGAGACATGAATTGGGTCCTTCAAATTTCATTTGTTCTTACAAACTAAGCTATACAGAGCCCCGCACATGACATGCAAGGAAAAAAAATGGGCACGATTTAATCATTTGTTACCTCGATTTACTAGATTGTGGGCATGATTTATTAATTCGTTCCCTCGTTTTATGTAAATCGTGCGCGCGATATAATAATTCGTGCCGTCGTTATACCCTGTTGAAAAAAACAGCATATGCTGGTTGGGTATGATTTGAAGCATGGCTGCTGGTTTGAGCTGGTTTAAGATGGTCATGTGCTGGTCCTAAGCTGGTCCTGAGCAGGAGCTAGTTTCTTAGGACCAGCACATTGCCAGCTTAAACCAGCTAAGGACCAACTCAAACCAGCAGCCATGCTTCAAAACATACCTAACCGGCATATACAGTTTTTTCAACAGGGTAGGTAAATCGTGCGCACATTTTAATCATTACCTCCTAACAGGTGCTGGTCAGTGGCGTAGCGGACGGGCACGCAGGGCACGCACTGCGGGGGGGCCCCGCGTGGTGGGGCCCCCGCCCCCCCCCATCACAGTTGCTTTCCTTTCGAAGTGCCCTGCGGTCAGAAATAACAAAAAATGGAAACGGGCTCAATTAAAGATCTGGCAGAGCTGCTGATTCTGAAGCATAGATCTATTCTTCCAAGCGTCACAGATGTGGCTACTGCCTTGAAACTTTTGTAACCATCCCTGTGACAGTGGCAAGTGGTCTTTTTCTAAACTAAAACTAGAATAAAAACCTGCCTGAGAAGCACAATGAGTCGATAATGAAAGCAAACCAACCCAAAAAAAAACAAAATCTTTCTTCAAACAATCACTCTCCACCTGCTCTCTGCACCAGTACTCTCACTTCCTGATTAGCTCAATTGCGCCCTCAGGGTGGTATGGCCGTAAGCGAGTACAGCACTCAAGAGCGAGCTATTTAAAGAAGACACACCAGCAGGTGAAAGAAAAGCAGACCCTTTACCCAGTGGCTAGCGGACGGGCACGCAGGGCACGCACTGCGGGGGCCCCCCCACCCCAAAATGTTAGGGTTGTTCATTTTGGTGATTTTCGTGACCGACAACTGACGCTCGTTAACCGATGATTAGCCATTAACCGAAAAAACTAGAATGTTAAATTAGATTTAGTGACCATTAAAAATACCACAGATATTTTTCCCCCTCTTTTCATGGGTTCAGTGCATGCGCAAATAGCAGCACAAACAACAACAGAACAGGGGGATTCATTGTCTCATCATCACGCACCTGCCGCGCTTCAGTGAAGGGAGAAAAACAGAATAAAACTACATATATAAAAGGAAGAAAATAAATAGGCCTACACGAAATGTTTCACTTAAATAATTATTACATTAACAAAACCAAAAACAAAAAAACTGCGCTACAGTTTCTGAGCTCCATTTAATTTTTGTGATCGCGCCTCAAAGTTCAAGGAAACCTATAGACGGCTGAAAGCGCATCCTATTTGTTTCTCTCTCTCTCTCTCTCTCTCTCTCTCTTTAACAAAGACACAATGTTTTGTTAAATAAAAGTGAACTATTCATATTTTCGAATAATGTCTTATTTCTTATCTGTATGATCAAAAATAACAGAGTAGCCTATTTTAAGCTGTTTTCGCTGTTAAGGACAAAATCCTTGATTGCGCTGGTACGTTTCAGTTTCTCTTTAAATACGTTCGTTTTGACTAGACATTTAGCCTACATGTTGTTTATGTATGCATACATGCATTTGCCGAAACATTTGTTAAAACTAGAATAAAAACCTGCCTGAGAAGCACAATGAGTCAGGACAGGCTTTCCGAACTTGCGATTCTCAGCATTGAAAGCCAGCGCGCGCGCGTCAGATGGACATATCAGACATTGTTTGCGCTACGCCACTGGTGCTGGTGCTTTATTCATCTTCAGTAGGTTACGTATCGTACTCTTCTTTGTGAACAGGCTGCTTACTTTACGGTCATTCATTTCTCTACCTTTACATTCAGTGCTCACTTAATATGAAAGACTAATTTTAGACTCGGTGTGTTTGTTCTTTCTCTCTCATTCACACAGAAAATATAACTAATGTCAGGCTTATTGGTCCAGAAGAATCATTAATAGAGGGAGAATCATCTGCTAACATCAGCTCTGAGGGAACTGGCAGCATCACCTCTGTGCAGTGGATGAAAGATAACAGTCCTCTGTCTCCTAGCAACAGCATCATCTTCTCATCTGATAACAGATCAGTGTCCATCAGTCCAGTGCAGAGATCAGACAGTGGAGAATATCAATGTACATATAGAAACCCTGTCAGCTCTGAGACGGCAACACTCAACCTGACCATCAACTGTGAGTGTTAAACATTCAAACATCAAGATGATTTGAGCTCAAACCTGATGAAATACAGACATTCTTCAGTGCTCAGTTTGTCAGTGAGTCTTTTGTTTGTGCTCTAGATGGACCAGAAGATGTTTCAATTAAGGGTGAAGATGTGGTGGATTTAGGGGTTCGTGTGTCGCTCTCTTGCTCTGCAAATTCTGAACCTGCTGCCTCATTCAACTGGAAGATTAATGGAACAGACACTGATGTGACCACAGACACATTCATCATAGATGAGACTGACTTCACACACAGTGGAGATTACATCTGCACAGCCTGGAATAGTGTCACAAAGAGAAGCGCCTCACAAAAACATGCTTTACTAGTTAAAGGTAAGCAATTAAAACTAACCTGTGTTGTAAACATTTGATAACATTGCAATTTTTCTAATTGCATTATTAATTTCTAATAACTTTCTAATGAATTAGCACTTAAATACAACTTTTTCTATGTAAATTTTTTACTATGTAATTTTACTATGTAAAATGCCCTGAAGTAAGTATTCTATGCTGTACATGATGTCAGTCTGTTGTTTCCTCTGTCTTTGTCATAGTAGGAGGAAGAGGAGGAGGAGGGCTATCATCAGGGGCGATAGCTGGGATTGTCATTGGGGTTTTAGTGGCAGTTGCAGGCATTTGTGGTCTGATTGTCTATTTAACAAAAACTAAGAAAATGTGAGTAAAAATTTAGTTTCTGAATTATGTACAATTACAGTGACTTTCTCTGAAAATATGTCAGTATTTATGTGATAACAAAAAGATTTCAGTAAAACAATTGTCATAAGCTGTCTTTTTGTGAGACAAAAATGTGGTAAAGATAAAGTTGTAACAAAATGTCTTTGTCTTTACACTACAGCTCAAAAATAAACCTTCGACAAAATGGACCGGCAAGAGGAGGTATGTTTGTTATTTATTCATAATGCCTATGAGTATGTGATTGAAACAACACAACTTACTTCGCAAGACTGACCATGATAATGAACATGCCATAATAGATTGCAGAGGAACTATTCATATTACAGATGATTCAGTACATATTTCTCTCAGTATTAAACTCATTGAGTCTTACTTTCTTTAAACAGCAGCACAAAGCAGACAGGAGCCTGTGAGTGACTTTCATTTCTTGTTTTCTCATCACAGCCTTACATTTATTAATGGATACTTGATTTAAAACTGTAAATCTGATGTCAAATGACATTACTAACACTTACTGGAAAGGTGCGGTAGTTATTCAGAGTATATTTTTACAGTCAGCTTAAATGGACTTTAATCTTTCACATACTACCACGCAAAGACTTGCTATGAGGATGAGCTATGGATATTGACATTAAATCATTATGATTTATTAAACAGTTTAATAGTGGGATTTCATTTTTTATTATTTACAGTGCTGTGAAAAAGTGTTTGCCCCCATTCTGATTTCTTCTGTTTTTGCATATGTCTCATAATAAATTGTTTCAAAAATGAAAACAAACTATTACATAAAACAAAGGCAACCTTGATAACAACAAAATACAGTTTTTAAATAGTTTAAAATAGTTTTTTTTATGATAATTTTATTTATTGAAGCAAAAACGTTATCTAAAACCAACTGGGCCTGTGTGAAAACGTGTTTGCCCCTGTTGTTTCTAATTACCAAATCTATGAAACTGCATTCATAATTTGGTTCGAGATGCAACCGGGCCTGATTACTGCCAGCCCTGTTCAAGTAAATCAGCACTTAAATACAACTTTTTCAGCTGTATGAAGTTGGTTAAAAGGTCTTAGCCAGTAACACACTATGCCAAAAGTGAAAGAATTTCCAGAAATTATGAGGAAGAAGGTGATTGAAATATATTAGTCTGGGAAGGGTTACGAAGCTATTTTAAAGGCTCATGGATTCCAAGGAGCCACAGTGTGAGCCATTATCTCCAAATGGAAAAAAAACTTGGCACAGTAGCGAATGTTCCTAGAAGTGGCCAACCTCCAAGAGCACAGCAAAAAAAAAAAAAAAAAATTGTCACAAAATACCAGAGGGCAACATTGAAGAAACTGCAGGCCTCTCTTGCATCAATAAAGGTCACTGCATGACTCCACTATCTGAAAGAATGAAAATGGCATCCATGGAGGAGTGATGAGACAAAAATCACTGCTAACCCAGAAGAACTTTAAGGCTTACTGAAACACACCTTGATGATCCTCAAACCATTTGAGATAATGTTTTGTTGAGTGATGGGTCAAAAGTGGAACTGTTTGGAAGACAAGGGTCCTGTTACATCTGGCGTAACCCAAACACTGAATTACACAAAAAGAACATCGCCCCTATGGTCAAGCGTTGTGGTGGCAGTGTGTTGGTGTGGAGAACATGAGGGAAACATGAATTCTGCTCTCTACCAGAAAATCCTAAAGGAGATTGTTTGGTCTTCAGTCTGAAAGTTGAAGCTCAAGTGCAACTGGATTAAACAGCAAGACAATGATCCAAAGCATAGGAGTAAGTCCACCTCTGAATGGCTAAAAAATAAAAATTTAAGTTTTGGAGTGGCCTAGTCCTGACTTGAACCCAAATGCCTTAAACAGGCAGTTCATACTAGAAAACCCTCCAATGTGGCTGAACTAAAGCAGTTCTGCAAAGAAGAGTGGGCCAAAATTCCACAACAGTGCTGTGAAAGATTGGTAGCACTTTGGTTGCAGTCGCAGATGGCGCAACCAGATTTTAAATTTAAGGGGGCAGTCGTTTTTTACATGGGTGATGGATAACTTTTTTTTTTTTGCTTCAGTAAAAAAAAAAATGTTTGTGTTTACGTACGTACGTTTCCTTTGTTTTATTTTGTTTAATTTGAAGATCTAAAAAAAAAAAAAAAACTGAAGAAATGAGGATGGGGCCAAATGAATTTTCACAGCATTGTAAATACATTGTGACATTGTGATTTTAGTTTAACAAAAACAATTGACTGTTTTAGGACTTGAACTATGCAGACATTAGCCATTTCCAGAAGGCTGGTGGAGAGAGAGTGAATCTGGGGAATAAGAGTGAATTTAGTACAGAGTATGCAGAAGTAAAACATGGAGGGAAGTCAAGGGCTCCTCCACCTCCCTATGGAAGTCAGGTAAGCAGTTGTATACATTAAAAGTAGCCTATCCCATTGTAGAACACCATATGTGTACTTTAGCTGCAATAAAACTTTACTGCATCACAAAATAAGTGCTATTTATTCTGTTCTGTAGCTCTGCAGTAAAACAGTAAGGAAGTCATTTGGTTGGTTTCATTTATTACATGCTTCTGTAACTTCTCCAGTCACGTATCAAACCCTCCTGTGCGCAGGTGCGGAAGTGAAGACACGGAAACACTGAAACCTACTGCACTGAGTCTTCCTGCATATTGCACATTTCACACGTGTTGTGTTATTTCTTTAATTTAGTTTGATTTCACTGGATGTTGTTGTGTAAGTGAAACGTAAAACTTTTATTATTGTTTTGAATTCAAGATGGCTTGTTAGGCTGTGCAATTTTTCTGTTTTCACGATTAAGATGGAGAGACAGGGGAGGGTTGTAACACTGCTCAGTTTATTTTGAATTTGTATGCAATTTTTCAACATTTATCTGATACAAATCGATGTTGTTTCGAAATCTACAACTTCTCTTGAAATCTCTTCTATTGTGTAAAATAATGTCAAGTACAAAAAGCCATGTTATTACAACATAATCACCTACCGGTGTGTGATTTAACAGTATATTAACAGTAGAAAACATTGATGTTTTAAATTTTGTATATGCATTTACTTGATATTTCAATGAAGTGAACAATTTTTTTTTGTTTTTGTTTTAATATTCAGGTGAAAAATTGGAGTAAATATTATATATCCAATTAAAAAAGAATCTGCTGATTCAGAATAAACCAATTTCTGTCAATTAACATACATAAACCTTATTGTAAACGAAATTATATCCCCAAAGTAAAATGTTGATTTTTCTATCTCAAATGTGTTTTTTTGTCCTATAAATCCTTTATATTTTTAAACAGAGACTTACAACTTCTTCTGTCACCTCAAGAGGATGGTGGTCATGTACAATCCCAATTCCAGAAAAGTTGGGACATTTTTTTAAAATGCAGTAAAATCAAGAATCTATGGTTTGTAAACTGTCTTTAACCTTCATTTAATTGACAAAGGTACAATTAAAAGATTTCCAATGTTTTCAATGACCAACTTAAATGCATTTTGTTAATATAAACAATTTTTAATTTTGATGGCTGTAACATACTCCACAAAAGTTGAGACAGAGGCATAATAAAAATGAAAAGGTTATAGAATATCTGAGTTAAACTGTTTTAAAAGCAGGTGAATTGGTAATAATACGTCAGGGAATCAGGATTGGGTTTATACAGAGCATCCTGTCTTTGCCAGCAAAGCTTGATCGTGGCTCACCACTTGGTGCCAAATTTCATGAGAGAATTGTCAGACAAATCAAAAATCACATCGCTCAATGCAAATTTGCAAAGAAATTAGGTCTTTCACCAATTACCATACATAATTTTGTGAAAATATTCAGGGAATCCAGAGAAATCTCAGTGCATGTAGGGCAAGGCAGGACACCTCAGTTGAATGTGTGTGATCTTTAAGCCCTCAGATGGCATTGCCTGAGAAACCTTCATGTTGCTGTGTGAAATATAGCTACATGGGCTGAGGAGTACTATGGATAACTGTTGTCATTTAACATAATCTGCATCTGCAACAAGAAATGCAACTTGAATCTCTGTTACACAAGGAGTAATCTATACATCAATTCTAGACAGAGACGCCAGCGAGTTCTCTGGGTCCGAGCTCATCTTAGATTGTCCAAAAGACAATGGAAATGTGTGCTGTGGTCAGATGAGTCCACATTTCAGCTTGTTTTGGGGGAAAACGGACATCAAATTGTTAGTCTCAAAGACAAAAGGGACCGTCCAGACTTAAATCAGTGACAGGTGCAAAACCAAACGTCTGTCATGGTATGGGGGTGCATCAGTGCAAACGGCATGGGTGACTTGTATATGTGCGAAGGTACCATTGACGTGGAGGCATATATTGGGATTGTACAGAGACATATGGGTGATTCTATAATTGGAGATACATTTGACATTACAGAAAGTTAAGAAAAAAAACTTTTCACTAACAGATTTTTTTTCAGTATCTTATTGAAAACATATTTAATTTTAATAATTCAGTGCTTTCCAAACACAAGTTACTTCCTTTTTTTACTTTTAATGAAAAAACAGATGTCTTTATGGTATTGTTTGTCAACTCTGTTACGGACAAATTAGCCAATGTGTAGAAATAACAATAAATCATAACAGGAAAAATCCTTCTTGTTTCATTAGACAAAC